CTGCCGCTGTCCCCTCATGTCCTACCTCGACAGCCGTCCAATTCTCACTGATGCTTATAGGACAACAGAACGGTTTAGCTCGCATGCTCGAGACCCTAGTTATCGATGTATGTTGTATCCAAGAGACTTGCATTCAAGATTCCAGCTGCAATATCCGATTGACGTTCCAATGAAACCCACCAGTGGAATCTCACGCCGCTCTGGGGACCCTGAGGCTGCGGCTTCCGGTCTGGCGTCGGCGTGGCTCTCAGTGAGAGGGCTGAAGTCGCCCTCCTGGACTGGTTCCCAGTCGACAGTAGGTTGTGCGCAGTGAGACATAGAGGTTCGTGCAAAGTAAAGAGTCGTCGCCCCGATAGACGAAACCTGTTTGTCTTGTCGGTGAACGCCCCGACGAACTGCAACCCAGATGCAGTCAAAGATTAATTTTATCATAACAAACACGACCTCTTGCGTAAAGCGAGTCGGACTCATATCGTGATTTAGTAGGAGATATGAATGGTAGGCCGACTGGCTTCGAGTGAGGCGCATCTGGGTGGTCCTTTCGGACTAGATTTCTGTCACTCGGTAAACGGGGAACGGTTGTTGGCTCTCTGTTCGGACCACCGCCTATTCCTCGCCAGTACGAAATTCAGACGCTCCAACTGCCGGTACGCAACTTGGTGTCCGCCATCCTCGAGTCAGCGACGGACACAGATCGACCACATCGCTATAAGCCATAAATGGCGCGGTTGCATACAAGACTGCCGATCGTACTGGAGCACTCCCCTCGAATCGGACCACACATCAGTTTGTACTAACGGTCCGTGTGCTTCGGTGGGCTTTCCAACCGCATGACACATCGACGATTAGACTGAGATAAGTTGCCTGAACCAGCACACTTATCTGTCTTTCGGGGCGCACTAGCTGAAAAGCTAGAGTCAACCCCACTCTATGACGTTTACCAGCATTGGTCGCTTATCTGCGTTCTGCTGGCTTAATTAGTTGTTGTCTGACACGTCTTGCCGCGATACCCTGGATTTCTGCGGAGTCTCTACGCCTTCTTGACGCACGTCGGTCAATTCCTACCGGCAGTGAGCATATTGAACACGAATCGTAACGGGACGTGAACTTAATTGCAGCTTACGCAGAGACCGCGAAATTTGGTGGTCTCAACGCGCATCGGAGATAGAATGTGATGCCGCCTTGGTTAATTCCCGTAAGCTGTTCCATGTCACTCGGGTCACCGGTGGGAAAGCCTTGGTTGTGAGCGAGACGATCTGCAAAGCCGACAGTTCGCCCATTCACAATCAACAGTGACGTCATGCACGCTGGACGGAGCACTTGAAAGCACAGTTTAGCTGGCCTCTAGCGTCAGGTTCTCACAGAGTTATTCCGGCACACGTTCCGTGGTCTGTCTCAACAGACCCACCTTTTGAGGCGGAAATCTGTAAGAAAATCCTAGCCTTGGGACGTCATAAAGCGCCGGGCTCCAATGGCCCTCCCCTGCTCTATTTAAAGATGGTGGAATAAAGCTTGTTAGAGAACTACAAGTTCTGTTCTCTAACGTGTGGAACACTGAGCAGGTCCTCCCTTCGTGGAGGAAATCGATTGTCGTCCCGATCTTCAAAAAATGCCCGCACAGTGACTGCGCCAATCATAGGGGTATAAGCCTAATCCCGATAGCGTCGAAGCTGTTGGCGTCCGTCATTCTCCGCCGATTGTACACTATGCGTGAGGAGCAGGCTGGGTGTCGTGCCGGTCGTGGATGCATCGATCAAGTCTTCACCTTGCGACAGTTGCTAGAGCACCGTCATGCCTATAAAAGACCAACGATTATTGTATTCTCAGACATCCGCGCGGCCTTCGACTCTGTCGATAGGAGTGCACTATGGAGCTGTTTGTTAAAGAATGGAGTACCTGAGAAGTATGTATCGATCCTCAAAGAGTTGTATCGTCATACCTCAGGTCGGGTTAGGGCCTATGGTCAACTTTCACCACCCTCCGCCGTCTCCAGTGGAGTTCGACTAGGCTGCCGTATATC